AGCTTTTTCGTTGCCTTCTGGCATGCGTTTGAAATCCACGTCGATGCAAAACACGGGAAGTTCGTGGCGGCCCTCGCGTGCCATTCCTGCTCTCGGCCCTGCTGCGTCATCGAACTAACCGGCCCTCGATCGGGCCACTTCAGGGTATTCCCCGGTGTGTGCGAATTTGAGGCTTACAGCAAACGATCGGACTTGACTTTGGATGCGATACGGGTGATACCCTGATACTGCACGGAGACAGTGGGGAGTGGGGAGCCAAGCTTTCAAGTCTCGTTCCCACTGTGGTCCCGGAGCAGCGGAAGAGGCAAAAGTGATGCTACATCAGGAAAGGTGTCCAAATCATGGTCTGCGTTGACCATAGCCGAAGCTAGTTTGCTTCCTGGAGCACGCCGGCGTTGGGCCCGAGGCTCCAGATCAAGGAAACAATGAACTCAAAGCAAGAAGGCAGGACTCCCCGGACAGGCGACCTGGGGGAGTCCTCACCCTGCACATCGAACAAGCTACCTTCGACCTCCATCTTCCGGATGAGCGAAATGTCTTCTGCCAGGACTTCCGGATCTGAATGGATCAAAACCGCCAAGCCGGTGACAGTGAAAAGGTCTATGGTTTTCTGTACACGGTCCCCTACATGGACGTTCTCCTCCAGAGAAACGTAGGACCGCAGTCTCCTGACTGCATCAAAACCAGGTGTGCCCTCCACGACCTCGGGGTTCAGAAATTCTAGATACTCGAAAGCAAACCGCCAGCAGCAAACATCCTCAGGAACTCGCAGCGACGCACAATTCAGCAGAGCGACACCCTCCTGGAAAGAGATGAGACTGACCATCTCTCCCGCCTGACAGGTGACACAGCAATCCCGATCAAAAGTTGCCGAACACAACTCAAGCCACTTCCCAACCAAAGCCTCTTTCTAACACCTGAAACTGCTGGACTTGCCAACCAAAACGCGATGACATGTTTCGTTTTCAGTACGAGTTCTCGCCTTGAGGAATGGTGACGGAGGCACCTCGGACAAACGATCAAAAGTCTCGGGGTTCAAGAAGGCATCCACGCAAACTCCCACTTGCGTATAGCCGGTGAGTGCTTCCGCGAG